GATGCTAACGCTGCTTCTTTCGAGCCAGCTTCAGCGGGCTGGACATCTGAGACCTTCCGCCCCTTGTGGGTGATGAATAATTGAGACCTTCCGCCTCTATGGTGATGTTCATCTTGACTTTCGGTGCGAGATAGCTAAATAGCTGAAGCGCTAGTAAACATTTGGCCACTAAACTAACTAACTAACTGGTATAAATCAAATGACGCTGGTATAAATCAAATAACGCCGGTGTAAATCAAATAACGCTGGAGTTAATTAAATAACGCTGGCATAAGTCAAATAACGCTAGTGTAAATCAAATAACGCTGATATAAAACAAGTAACGCTGGTTTAAAACAAATAACGCTGGTGTAAATCAAATAACGCTGGTAAAAAACAAATAATGCTGGAGTAAATCAAATAACGCTGGTATAAATTATATAACGCTGGTATAAATCAAATAAAGTAACGCTGGTATAAATCAAATAACGCTTGTACTATAACCATTAAAGCCCATTACGAACATTGGTATTATAATGTGAACGATATATTATGAAGTTGGTCGTACAGTGGTAATTCAAGCATAAACTCCTGCATTTTTCAAAATGGATGACATATTGAGTAAGAATTTCTATTGACAATAAATACAGTGAGCAGTTATCTTCTTCTGAGCTTTAATATTGTGAAGATCTTTTAGCGCTGCATATTAATTGTAAATATAAATATGCTACAATAAATGTATTGTTCGCATCATGACATGAGTCAGCTTAATTGTATCTAAATGAGGCGCTTTTTACAATCATTTTAAATACGATAAGCTGTGTAAATTTTACAACTAATTAACATAAATATTGTCTACTAATACGTTGATAGTGTCAACTAACGTAAACATTGATTATTATTATTCTATAAACATAACATGTCAAAAGACTTCACAAAAAATCATTAAAATCATTTTTCTAACGATGAAAAAAGCCTCATATTTATAACTTAAAGTGATACTCTGTATTAAAATTCCTNAGATTCGGAAATGAATTTTTTGATAAAAGATTGTAATGATTGCACTTGTGCATCAAGGCCGAATTATTATGTTATCTGTGGCAATCTGTTTGCTTGTAAGTAAACCACGTGATGCGACTGCTTTTACTTATATATTTAATTAACTTGTACAAAGTAATGCATTTTTTGTGTATAATAAACTTGATATAAAGTTAAATTGTCTTGTTCACAACAAACCTTCAGAACAGCTTATCACGAGTATAATATGAGCTTAATTGTCTTCAAATATATATTAATTATCATCGAGAATAATCTGAGCGAAACTGAAAGTTGTCGCCGAAAAGAAGAAAATTTAAATATAAATTATGATAAATGAAGTATGAGGTACTGTAAAATTAGAAAAGTGTAAATAATCAATATTCTGCCATGTTTATTTACACTTATTGCAGTTATTTATTTCATATTATTTATTAAATTCTTTTGATAATTATATACATTCCCATAGACATCACTTATGATTGGAAAATATAACACGAAAGTCAGTTTTTCATTATGACTAGAACAAATATTTCAATCATCGCACAAAATGAGTCGTGGACCACTCATTTAGTGAGTCAGCAAATAATGTTCTGTATCATTATTATCATTATTACTGAGACTCGTGAGAAATCATACGTTGCAGTGCAATAGGAGGAACGCTTTCTCAAAGAAAGTTTCGATTCCGCGAATGTGAAAGTGTGAAGGAATTTTACTAATGAAGAAGAATGTTGTAAGGTTTTTCCTTATTTTCCTTTCCAAAAATTTTTTCCTTATATTGAATTACAGTGCACGTAAGTTATGTAATTCAACCTTCATCACTTCACCCGAACATTACATACCATCAAACAACAGTTTTTGCACTTGAAATAACTTCGTGTATAACATCGGTAGTACAATCAATCCGATCTCGGCTATTAAAAATATTAAGCTGTTTTTATTAATATTAAATATCATTATATAAAATATATTAAGTTGGAAATAGATTATACTTATTCTAATAAACTATACATTTACTAATTTATTTATTTCAGGCATATGACGTCATCGCATGCCTACATCCCCCGCCCTCCCGTTTTATTTTCACGAGAATAAATAATTTTAGGCTCATCACTGGGGGGGGGGGGGATGGGGAGGGGCAAGGGGGCGGAAACTTCCACTAATTCTGCTGTAATTGCCTCCAAAAATGTCTACCCGATCGCTGCATTGACTCGGTAATCCTGCCTAATGAAGCTAATACCAGTTAATAATGCCCTGCTGCGCTCGCATCCAAAACATGCCGCACCTCGCACGATCACTTCCCCGCCACGGCAGCGGTCAATGATATTCCTACGAGAATCCGCGTGCCATAATGAGCAGCTTATAAGTTGCATATCTTTGACTTGATCTACTTGTGTTATTCTTATGGGCAACTAGCCTAAAAGTAATAGGAGTCTTGTCTATGCTATTCCTACGAAGTCCCTGGGGGCCATAACTTCAGAGAAGAGCTTCAAGTTTGTTGAGTTAATCACAGTAAATTGGGCGGCCATCGTAGGCTGGATATTTTCTTGGCAAACATCTTGAAGTAATTAGCCCTCATTTGCCAGGCTGTCTGCCCTCGCGTTACCTTCACGCTGCCCTCACTGCTCACTCTATATACACTCAGAGAAATGTATGGGTCACATTGTCCAAATATCGACACACTTTCATACCTAATTTAACACTACAGATTTAACACAACACACTTTCATACCTAATTTTAATTTAAGCAAAAGAGTGAACGTATAGAAATGGTATACGCTCTTCTGCCGGACAAAACTGGGTAAGGATGACTCACATAAGGCCTAAAAACGCAATCATATTCGGAAAAAGTTGCTCTAATTTTTCCGTGTGTATACGCAGTTCATATTAATTATGTACTATAAAATTGCTGTTGCTGTGGGCAACCAGTGGACAGTTCGGTAGTAATGTGTTCTCGTCTTTCCTTGGACGCAATATTTCATTTGAATGTTTAAGTAATACGTCAGCGAATTAATGTTACGATATACATCAAATCGATCGTATATTGCATATTCTACGGTTACTGTACGTCGCAGGTTATGGTACGCTTACCCCTGATAAACTTTACAGCCGGCGCATACAGCCACCATTACAGCCGGCGCTTACAGCCGGCGCTTACAGCCAACATTACAGCTGATGATTACATCCAAAATTACATATGTATAATAAAATAATCTACGGTATTTACGGCTAGCATTTAAATTAATCTTTCAGTAATCGAAAATCTTCTGAGGCATCTTACAACGGATTTTTGTTCATTAATTTAATTGATAGTAATGATAGTATATTTTAAATTAAATAATTGGAGAAGTTAATCCACACAATTTGATATATTGGATAACAAAATATTTTTTGGATAGTTAGTATTTAATCTAAATAATGGGCGCACGCATAATTTTACTCTGAATTATTGTCTATAAATTATTTAGAATGTGAAAAATTATCTCTAAAATTATATTTCTCTAAAGATAAAATTTATCTCTTGAGATAATGCTAGAAAATTATCTCTAGAATCATCTATAGCAAATAAATTCAGTTGATGATCATTTGCTCTCTATTATATCATTTTCAACTTCGAGTTTATATAGTCTTTCATCTCTAATTGAGCTGACATTTTTCGTATCAGACCCCAGCCCTCGCCCCCGAAAGCCCCCCCGGTCTACAGGTCTTGTAAGAAGCCACGCTATTGGCCCCTAATGAGATGAAGGAGGCATTTGATTGGTGGGTAATGACCTATTGAAAGCGCGCTAGTTGCCCCCTAATTGATTTTGCTCACATGTGATTGCTCGATAATTGAGTTTGGGACC